GTGCAAAGACCTGGAGATAGGAAGCAAACAATAGCAACAACAAAACCTAAGATCTGCATCCCATAATCAGCAATCCACAGCGCTAAAGATAGTGTGCATTTTCTTCCTATGAGGTGGATTGCCTCATGCCTTCCACATCACATCACATCCACATCACTGCTTTCATAAGTGACTCCCCATTGTGGTCCTCAAATGTAGTAGCCTATGTTTATAAGATTCAGTTGTTCTTCCTTCTTTTCACAGTTGATTTATATCCTTCTTTCATGACACCCCATGAGAGAAGCATTAAGAACATACAAACACCCTTTAATAAAGTTACAAATACTGATGTAAATTATATAAGTTTCCAATACAAAGATATCATTCGTCTTTTACTATAAATATCCACATGAGGACTCACAGAAAATATTTTGCAAATATGACTGAATATATCACCATCGATGGGCCTATGACATGCCAATGACATGTTAATTTTTATTATATCGGTTTTTAGCTAAACTTTCATGGACCTTGAATCCGAAACTTAAAGTTTCTAAGTGTCTTGAAAAGTATCCTGTGCTTTGCTTTGTTTTCTTGTTATATGCATACATGTTGTATACATACATACATATAGATTGTTATATGCATACATTCAGTGGTGTTCCTTATTCTATGAAAAATATAGGATTCATTCATTACCATAATAGATTAATAAAGATAGATAACAGAGGTATCTATTAAACAGATATCAAAACAAAGGAAAATGAATATAAATTAGATTAATCCGTCCACGAGAAAAGTACACAAGATGCATTGTTATAAGGAAGTAATGTATTTTTGTTACATAATTTCTATCTACTAATTTGAGAATGAAACATGAGCAAGTACATGGTTCAAAACATATGTAGGGAATGAAAACAAACAAATAAACACACAAAAAAACAGATGTATTAAGACTTTCTGATCAATCACAGAAAAGTGCAAGCTGGACATGTTATTTCATGAGTCTGCTGGCCACAGTAAATGTTTTTTTGTCGTACCAAGTGTGTTATCCAATATTATCCTAGTTTAAGACATTCTTCTTTACATATTCAGAAGATACAAAATGCTGATTGAAGTTCATGGAAAATAATAGGTAGAAATAGTAAATATACTTGAGAGTTTTGGCAAATGATGTGATGGGCACCACACAAATTCAATGAATCTAAAACTGTCATGTATTATATCATGGATTGAATTATGTCCCCCCAAAAATGTGTGTATCACTTTGGCTGGGCCATCATTCCCAGTATTATGTGGTTGTCCCCCATTTTGTGATTGTAATTTTATGTTAAAGAGGATTAGGGTGGAATTGTAACACCCTTACTAAGGTCACATCCCTGATCCAATGTAAAGGGAGTTTCTCTGGGGTGTGGTCTGCACCACCTTTTTCTATTGTAAGAGATAAAACGAAAGGAAAACAAGTGGAGAGTTGGGGACCTCATACCACCAAGAAAGCAGTGCTGGGAGCAGAGCGTGTTCTTTGAACCCAGGATCCCTGTGGGGAGAAGCTCCTAGCCTGTAAGAAGATTGGTGAGAAGGTCAACAGGTAGAGAAAGCCTTCCTCTGGAGCTGACGCCCTGGATTTGGGCTTTTAGCCTACTTTACTGTAAGGAAATAAATTTCTCTCTGTTAAAGTTGTCCACCTGTGGTATTTCTGTTGTAGCAGCACTAGATGATTAAGACATATTAACTCCAATGAAGCAAGATTAAAAAAAATGAAACATAAATTTTCTCTTTTTTTTTGAAACAGTATTGTTAGTTATACCCAAAGAATAAGAAAGACAATGACCATGTAGGACTTTAGGATATTTTCTAGTTCATGGTACCTGAGGTACTTCTATATTCAATTTATATTATAAGAGACCAAATTTTATTTTGGTGATGTCTTTCAGGAAAAGAAACAGTATTTGTAATTTCTAATTCTGGTTATGTACTCTTAAAAGCACAATACTGTACTTTCCTTTTAGTGAGTCCTATATACCTGTTAGATCATCCTCTTTTCTCTCCTACAATAAAACGGTTAGAACAGCACACATAGTAGAATGAATTTCCTGGGTGGTGACAGAGAACTGGCTAGTCTGATAAAATGGCTTCAATACTTACTAGAAGTTAAACTTGGACATGTTCCTCCTCCACTGAGTGTGTCAGTTTCCTTCTCTGTAAAATGGTGACAAAAATAATCAGCTCTTTATATGAATAAGTATTTCTAATTAACTGAGAATTAACACATACGTAACTCATTTAAAAAAAAAAAAAAAGTTGCCCTTGAGTCAATTCCAGCTCATGGCAATCCCATGCGTGTCACAGCAGGACTGTGTTCCATAGGGTTTCAGTGATTGATTTTTCAGAAGTAGATGGACAGGCCTTACTTCTGAGGTGACTTTGGGTAGACTTGAACCTCCAGCTTCCAACATTTTGGTTAGCAGCTGAGCTTGTTAACCATTTGCACCATCCAGTGACTCCCATATAATCCATAGATTCCAACTTTTGCATAGCCAGAATACAATGACCTGCATCTAACACTACAACTGCACTGAATAATAATGATCCAAATCTGGGCAGTTAAGCTCCAGAACCTGAACCTTAACAAATACGCTATCTTCTTCTTCTGATAGTTTAATTGATGCTAATCACTTTTTGTATGTTATATGCATGCTTTGTCTAATACACTTTCAGTGTTTTATTGTAGAAAGTATGATTATGAATATAGGATCTGGACTGACCATAGTCTCTAAGTTGCATTTATGAAAATAGTCATGGTATCAGCTTGTTTATCATCACTTGTTTACAGAGCATGGAATAAATTCCAGTTGTTTGGATTCTCAGTAAAAGTGATTTCTCAATAGATGCTATTAAAAACAGAAGAATGAATACTAAGTCCTAAATTATATATCAGAATAGGCACTGTAGGTAATTTCCTGTTGCTTGCCAAATGTAAATTTGGAACTCATGCAGTGAGTTGATGGCAGAAGTAGAGCTGGTCTTATGAATGTTGAGCTGGCAGTGGAATCATTAAAAAAAAATTGCCCCTTATAAAAAACTCACAGATCTAGTAACAAATTGGATGCAATTATTTCAGTCAGAATCCTAACCAGTTAAACAAACCTCTTTCTAACTCAATGTATTGATAGCTTTCATTTTAGCATTTTTGTCACCCCTTTATTAGATATTTCAGTTCGTGTCAAACAAGTGATTTTATTGAATATTACAAACTATTTGTATTAAGAAAAATATTGAAGACTTGAGTATACTGATGCATTAGACATGACATTCCATTTATGTTAAGTTTGTTAGTTACTCAGAATGAATGAAAAAAGAAACTAATCTTTTCAATGTAATCCATTCAGAAAAGATGGATGTTACAATAATTTCCATATACTGACTTGAGGACTTGTCCTAGTTGAATTTGAATCAAAATCTTGAAAGTTTGGGTTCCTCCATATTAAATAAATAGATAAATTAGTTTTAATTTATTAAAAGATCAGGTAATTCTCTTTTCCAAATAAGTGGTCACATATCAAACTTCTTATGAGGACTACAAATAGTGTTATTGTTTTTCTTCCCTTGGGTTTACCTTTGTGAGTTATCTTAGTTTCTTAGTGCTGCTATAACAGAAATAACACAAGTAGGTGGCTTTAATGAACATAAGTTATTTTCCAACAGTTTAGGAGGCTAGAAGTCCAAATTCAGGGCACTGGCTCTAGGGGAACACTCTTTCCTTCCACTCTGGGGCAAAATCCTTGTCTCTTTTAGCTTCTGTTCCTTGGTTCTTTGGTGATCTCCATGTGACGTCAGTATATCCCTATTTGTACTTGTTTCCTTCTGTGCCTGATCTGCTTCTTTAGTATCTCAAAAGTGATTGGTTTTAGACACATCCTACACTAATATGGCCTCCTTAACATAACAAAGAACACTCTATACCCAAATGGGATTGCATCCACGCGTTTAGGGGTTAGGATTTACAAAACATGTTTTTGGCAGGCACAATTCAATTTATAGCATGAGTATAACTGGAGAATCATGAGTACTTCATTTGTTGTTGCTGTTAGGTGCCTTCAAGTCTGTTCCAACTCAGAGTAACCCTATGCACCACAGAAGGAAACAATGCCTGGTCCTGAACCATGGTCACAATCGTTGCTAGGCTTGAGCCCATTATTGCAGCCACTGTGACAATCCATCTCATTTAGGGTCTTCTTCTTTTTGGCTGACACTGTTCTTTACCAAGCATGATGTCCTTCTCTAGGGACTGATCCCTCCTGACAACATGTCCAAAGTATATAAGATGCAGTCTCGCCATCCTTGCTTCTAAGGAGCATTCTGGTTGTACTTCTTCCAAGACAGATTTGTTCATTCTTTTGGCAGTCCATGGTATATTTAATATTCTTCGCCAATACCACAATTCAAAGTCATCAGTTCTTCGGTCTTCCTTATTCATAGTCCAGCTTTCACATGTGGGTACATCATTACATATGATAATATGAATTTAAGAATTCTATATGGTCAAACAAGGAGCCCTGGTGGTGCAGTGGTTAAGCACCTGGCTACTAACCTAAAGGTCTGTGGTTCGAACCCACTAGCTGTTCTGCAGGAGAAAGATGTGGCAGTCGGCTTCACAGATTACAGCCTTGGAAACCCTATATGGAAGTTCTACTCTGTTCTGTAGGTCAGAATTGACTCAAAGACTACAGAGATTTTTTTTGGTTTACACAGTCAAATATAGCAATGATAGTGAGGATGGCACAGAACCGGGCAACATTTTGTTCTGTATTACATAAGGTCACTATGAGTTGGAACTAACTCAATGGCACATAACAACAACATATAAATTTAAGGAGCCTACAGGAGTCCTGGGAGTGCAATGGTTGAGAATTCAACTGCTAACCAAAAGGATGACAGTTCTAATTCACCCTGTGGCTCCAGGAGAAAAAGACCTGGCGATCTGCTCCGGTAAAGTTTACAGCCTAGGAAACCCTATGGGACACTTCTACTTTGTCACGTGGGGTTGCTGAGTCAAATATCAATTCAGAACCCTGAAGTTCTGTAAGGTTGTGAAGAAAATAAAGCACAGACACTTGAAAGATGTCTGAAAATTCCAGTGACAGTGATTCTTCTTGTGGTTGGACTGTCATCAATCATGAGGGTTCTGATATAGAGATGGTGAATTCTGAACATGGAGTAACCAGTGACAGCCGGGAGCTCACTCCAGAATGTTCATCTCTAGAGCAAGAGGAGCTACAAGTATTGCAGTTAGAACAGGGAGGTATCTGAGAATGGATTTTCCAAACACTTTGGATTGAAATGTACTTTGTTATTGCAAGAAAACAGCCAAAATTGCACAATGTTAATGGGAGAAACTGCTTATTCAGCTATGGAAGAACCAACGTCAGCTTTTGAGGCAGAGGAAGAGAAGTCACCTGAAGACAATGTGTATTTTGGAAGTGTCAGTGATGATTCTGGTATTGTTACCCTTGAGGCACCTAAGTTAGAAGAAACTGGAACTCATGAAGAAGCTATAATTGTTAAAGAAGCACAGAGCCCCAAAGACTTTAACATGGGCTTTTCCTCTAGCAGCCAGTATACGTTATGTCAGCCAGAAACTGTATTTCCATCTCAACCTAGTGGCAATGAATCAAGTAGTGATGATACGAGTCATCAGCCCAGCCCAGCTCTTAGACGGCGCCGTGCCAGGAAGAAGACTGTTTCCGGCTCCGACTCTGAAGACTGAGAAACCCACCGTTCCAAGGAGGGCATGCCTAAGTGCCAGTTCACTAGTGGCCTTAATAAATGTGTTATACTCACTTTGGTGATTGTGGTCAGCATGGGATTTGGACATTTCTATGGCACAATTCAGGTTCAGAAGCATCAGCATTTGGTCAGAAAGATACAAGAAGATGAACTGAGTGATGTGAAGGATTATCTTTGTCAATTTCAGCAGGAACAAGAGTTTGTTACAGACTATAAGTCATTGAAGAAAAACCTTGCAAAGTGTTGGACCCTTACTGAAGCAGAGAAAATGTCTTTTGAAACTCAGAAAAAGAACCTTGCTACAGAAAATCGGTATTTAAGACTATCTCTAGAGAAAGGAGAAAAAGACTTGTGTTCATTACAAGAAGAGTAAGGAAACTATGAGAACAGATTAGGGTGTTAGAAGATAAAGGAACAAGTACTGAATTAGTTACAGAAAACCAGAGACTTAGGCAGCATTTGGAAGAGGAACAGGAGAAGACACACTGCGTTCTCAATCAAAGGGAGACTTTACTGGCAGAAGCAAAGATGCCGAAGAAGTAACTGGACAGAGAACGACTATTAGCCGCGGCCCTAAGAGTAGAAGTCCAGCAGTTAAGCAGTAGTCAGTCATATGGCAACCCAGACTTTCCCAATGTATTAACTGAAAAAAAGGAAATAGAAACCTTGCGGGGAAGACTTAGTGCGCTGGAGCAGAAGCTGACCTTTGAAAAGCAGTGTTCTGATTTTTGGGAAAGATTGTATGTTGAGGCAAAGGATCAAAATGGAAAGCAAGAAACTGAAGGAAAAAAGAAAGATGGCAGAGGAAGCCACAGGGCTAAAAATAAGTCGAAGGAAACATTTCTGGGTTCAGTTAAGGAAATATATGATGCAATGAAGAATTCAACCAAGGAGTTTGTGAGGCATCATAAAGAAAAAATCAAACAGGCTAAAGAAGCTGTGAAAGAAAATCTGAAAAAATTCTCAAATTCAGTTAAATCTACTTTCAGACATTTCAAAGATACCACCAAGAATATCTTTGATGAAAAGGGGAATAAAAGATTTGGTGCTACAAAAGAAGAGGCAGCTAAAAAATCAAGAACAGTTTATCGTATTTACATCCACAATATAAGGCAACCACACAAAACCAGAATAGTAGAGGCCCCACTGGGCAGAGAGTGGGAAGGAAGGAAAAGCCCATTCACTTTGGAAAAATCACAAATTCACAGAAATGCAGTGCTGAGTATGACTGTAGTGAAAATTATCATTCTCTGAGAAAGGGTTCTGATGTATTTGACTGTGCGCGACAGGAATCCATTAGCCTTTTTAATGTAGTATTGAATCCAGTAAGGATAGACGAATTTGGACAGTTAATACAAAGATACTTATTAAAAGAGCCGGATGGTTTCCATCACTGGAAAGAACTTGATCAGTTCATCAATCAGTTTATCCTAAATGGTGTCTTTATACACGACCGGAAGCTCTTCATTGACTTTGTTAGTGATGTTAAAGACTATCTGAAAGCCATGAAGGAGTATCACGTAGATAATGATGGAGCGTTTGAGAATCTGGATGGAAATATTTACAGACACTTCCTTGGTGACACTTTTTTCCCCTCCAAATGGACCCAGATCAGTTTACACAGCACTGTGTTATCATAATAGCTTCTGACATCTACAGTTTGGATAGATGTTTATCATTTGATAAAGTTTCTTGAGAGGTTACTATTTGTAAAAGGCATACTTTACTGCCACTGAGAATTTAGAAAAAAATTAAAAATTAAAGAGATGAAATTTTTTAAAAGTATAGATATTACAAACTTAAAATTTCACATAACAATCAGTTTGACTTGAACAAATGCTTTCTTACCTTAAAAAATCAGTTGAGAATATGTATATATATTGAATTCTCTTTTAGCATATTTTGTTTCTTTTTAGTATACTATATATGAAAAGATAACCACCTTAAGTGAAATTATTTTAATTTACACTTTTATTTAGATACTCACCTTGGGAATCTAGGAGTGAACACCAGTTTTACTTTGGATTCAGAAGAGCTCGTATAAAACAGTTCTAATATCTCACCTATTTTCATTTGTCCATTCTATTTACCAAATTAATTGTGGCATTTTATACACTTATTACAGAACGATTGTTGATAAAGTTAGCTGCACGATTCAAGAGGAAAACTCAGCAAGCCAGAAGTTCGAATGTGTGTGCTTCTGATATAGAACTTTTTTTTTTTTTATTGTACTTCAGGTGAAGGCTTACGGAACAAATAGTTTCTCATGAAACAGTAGTACACATATAGTTTTATGACATTGGTTAACAACCCCACAACATGTCAACCCTCTAACTTCTCAACTTTTTTTTTTGATGAAAATACACATAGCCAAAGATACACCATTTCAAAAATTTCTACATGCATGGTTCAGTGACATTGACTACCCTTTACCGATTGTGCTGTTATTCTCACTTAAGATGAAGGCTTACAAAGCAAAATAGTTTCTCATTTAACAGTTACTACA